CAGCTTCTGTAGCTGTGGGAAGGGACTTGAGTCCATCGTCGACATAGAAATGTCTCGTGACGAACTCTCTCGTGTCTTCACCATAGTCGTGTTCACCTTCTCTGGCTGCTCGATGGAGACCGTAGAAGGCACCGATGGCCACTTTCATTCTGTACTCGACGATGTCCTTGGATGTGTCGTTGTCTCTATACCACAGGAACCTCAAGTAGTTTCTGTGGTCCTCTCGCACAATGAAGCAGTGGAACATCTGCTGGATGTCTGCAGTCATTGCTACTGGTTCTTTCCTGAAACGCAGTAGAACTCCCAGGAGGCTATTGTTTAGGTCTGGGCCGGTGAGCAGGACGTTATTCAGGGAGATACCATCGTGTTGAGCGCTCGAGTCAAACACAACCCTTATTTGGCCTGGTTTTTGTTGATGGTAGACGCCGAATGTCGGCAGATACCAACACTCTTCTCCAGCCTTGAGTGGGGGTGCTAGCTCGGCATGGTCATTGTAGAATATCTTCTTCATGAAGGCAATAAACTGCTCCTTCATCTCAGGCTTCTTATCGAAGCTCCGACGCAGGGAAGCGAGGCGAGTGAGTGCATTCTCAAGGTTGTTGGGTAGGCGACGTCTCTGTGTCCCCATGGGAGAGGTGCCACCCAGCTGTTAGCATCGTCCATGTATACCTCTTTGTCAATGGTCTCAAGGAAAATTGTGTCTTCGATGGAGAGGGCAGGCTTGTTGCCATCACAGCTGGTTTGGAACACGTCTTGCCCGGGATCCTTGTGTAGTACTTTCCCGTTGTGATTTCTGTTGTACGCTTGAGATAAATCGCTCTGCTGCTCCCCGCTGTAGTGTACATTCCTTTGAAGATGAATATGGTTTGGACATGGAGTGAGGAAAGACGACCGTCCCTTTTCTAGCAGGTTGGTTTTGAAGCTGTTCACGCTTGGCTTCTGTGCATTCCCGAGACAAACTTTTCATATGAGCACCCAGCCCAAATCAAGGTGCTGGGCAAAGGGAGCGTTGTGTAGGCCGTTGACTTGTTCGCGCACCTTGTGAACTCTCAAGATATCTCTTCCGAGCATGAGAAGGATCGGTGCATTTGGGTCGAAGTGTTGGATGTGGGCTGCCACGGGTTGTAGATGGGGATGGTTTGCGGCTGCTTTCGGTGTGGGTATCTCCTCTCTGTTGTTTGGTATCTCATTAAATTCAATGAAAGGAGGAAGAGGAAGGCTTATTCCCCCATCAATGGCTTCTATCTGAAAACCGACTGCTTGCCTCCCTGTCATTTCGGTGACACCTACACAGGTTTTCAGAGAGTAAGGTGACGGACTGCTCTCTATGTTGAACAGGTCGAAGAAATCTGACCTCGCTAATGACCTGTTGCTCTGGTCGTCGAGTATGGCGTACAACGTATACGTATTGGGAACTGACCATAGGTGTTGTGGTAGAGTCGGCGTTTTTCTCCCCACTTTGCTGTGATGTAGGAAGGGAGGCCTTTGGCAACCACGGGGCTGGACCCAGGTGCATAGCAGCATTGTGCTGGTTGCTGTCACATTCGTTGCATTTCATTACTACCTTACAGTCCTTTGCGTGGTGAGACGTGGATGCACAACACTTGAAACAGATACCATTCTCTCTGAGGTAGGATCTCCATTTGTCCATAGGTTTGGCTCTAAACCTCTGCATTTGTTGAGTGGGTGTGGCTTGTGGTGGATGGGGCAGCTCTTGTCAGGGCTGTCCTCTTTCTTTGCAGTGGTATCTGCACTTGAGCCGGCTACGATGGCAACATCCGTCTTGTGTACAGATATTTGGGTACTTGTGCGCATGTGTCCTACGGTAGGTCTCTCTCCCCTCACCACAGTACTACTTCTAGCGAAGGCAAAGCTGGGGTCATTTCTCGTTTTAGCCTCAGAACAGATAAACTATGTGAAAAATGAGAATGGGGGAAAGGATGTTTTGTGATCCTACTTGTACCTCCATCCTTTAGTGATCCATTTTTCGTGTAGGCCGTGAGTCAACTTCTCGACTACTGGGTTGATGCCACGGGCGGTGTCCAGATAGGCAAGACCTGGTAGGTGCCCGTCTTCCTTTGTGCACTGGACTTCCATCAGAATATCTCCCAGTTCTCTCAGCTTAAGATGATCTTGGGTTGAAATTGTCCAGTTTTCGGAAGAGGGCGCCCTCCAAAACTTCTGGTGAAGCGTAGGGCTCCTTCAGCCTTTCCCAGGCTTTTTTCAGTGCTACATCTGGGTTGTCTATGCTAACGGAACGGATCCTTCTGACGTGCTATGACGATTCTTTACCAAGCCACTTTCTCATCAGATCTAGTTCTTGCCGTAAGGCCAAGGCCCTTGGCAGCATTAGGGATCCGGAATAGAGGGATCCCAATACGACGCTTTTAGCGTCGATCTGCGCACTTACGCGTTTGAAAACGAGGCTGTATGTGTTAGCTTCAATTCTTAATACGATCAGACGATGGAAATTAAGGAGTCAAGACACAAAATACATAAAGGTATGTTAAATTAAGACTGTCCAGGCTTCAACTTCTTGTGGAAGAGTCTTTTTATGCCTCAACACGTAAAATCAAAAGAAAAAATACCGGCAATTTAAGTAGAAACATTTTTGACTGGCTTGTCTCTAAAAAATTGACGACAGACAAAAAATGGGGTCGAAATGACCGCAAACAGTTATAAAAACCCAAAGGCTCAGTTCCTGATACAAATACACTGCAGGGATATCAGGGGGGAAAGTCGGGGGGAGCAGATTCCAATCCACCTCCAGTACGTTCCGGAAGTTTAAGTTGAGCTTTGGTGGCTCAGCAGCCGGAGGTGACATGTGCCGTTTTCCCAAGTACTCTTTAACCTTTTTTTTAAAGAGTGCATGGTGCTCTTACTTGAAAGAACCTTGGAATGTTGCATGGCACGTACGGCGCCGTAACAGAAAGGGTCAGCTTGTTTTGACTCTTCTCACAGGCGGTAGGCGGAACCCCCCCTTAGAAATTGGCTGTGCCACGCCTGATTTTGTTTCAAACTTTGTGAGCATATACAAACTCTCCTTATCATTGTTAAGGTGACTTTTGAACTCATTGGACATTCTAGTTTTGTTGTTACGGTCATTTGGAGTTCATGGCTTTAAGCATGCCGGTTTGAGTGCATCGAGCGCAGCAATGGAAGAAAGTCTCGGGAAATGCACGCAGCGCGAGAACGGTAATTTTAATTTTTGCAAAATGGTGTCAAAATGACCGCACAGACCCTAGAAACCCCTTAGGGCTCAACTCGTGAATAAAATGCACTGGAGCGATATCGGAAAAAAATGTTGAGGGGGCTGCAGGCTGTGCCCCCCCCGGCTCGTTTAGGATTAAGGTAGCTGTTTTCAGCAAGGATACAGAGAGATCGTTTCCAGGCCCATCCTACCCCAAAAAAATTTGCTTTAAGCCACTGATTTTAACCCTCCGCTGCAACAGAGCCGATTTTTTCATGTTAATGCTCGGACGCCGTCATACGTGTATCAGCTGAATTCACTGCACAGAGCCGACTTTTTACACCCATTGCATCGAGGTGATCGTTTTGAAATCACTTCCGTTATAACCACAAAAATTTGACAACCCCAGCACAATGAAACTACTCAGACAGCTGTCTACAGCTCAGAGACACATAAGAGAGACCGACCATTGATATAAGACAGGCCCAGGCTTTCCAAGGCTTGCCCAGGCACTTTCTTTGTCAATAATCCCTGATCAGCACGTGGTTTAGATATTTACATACAATCCCCATGGGACGTGGCTTGAGGCGGGCTCTGGAAAAGAATGAAGCAGCTCAGGGGAAGTCCCCATGTTAAAGGTGACTAAACTGGGCTGTTCAGCATCTACAGAGATGCAAATTAACAGGAGGTTTTTCCATTTGGCCGAATTTTTTTTCATTACGTAATTACAAAAAGGGGGATCCTTACAGTAGCCATTCCGATCTGCGCAAGGTATGTTTCTCTACAGACTGGTACTAGTTTCTTGACCAGATTTTGACGAGTTCGAGAATTATCTTAGAAAAAGGAGAGAGTTAGAGTGTGTTACGCATTCTATTTTAAACTAACGACTTGTATTTGGGTAATTCCGCAAATTAGGGGTCCATTTTTGTGTGTGTACCTGTCATCTGACATTATGATTTTGTAAGTTCAAAGAGTGATGAATTAATGCGAATTACCTGCCAAACGAATAGTAACAGTTCCAAATCAATTCCAGTGATATTTCCATGCCAAATAACAAAGGTCAGATGTAACAGGGACACAAAAAAGTCTCACTTTTGGACACCTAATTTCTGGAATAGCCCATTGTTTGGGAGTTTTGTATTGCATTTCGCCTCACCAAATACAATAGTAAGATTTTATGGCAATAGAGGGCGCCCTTGTGATAGTTGATAATATTGTACAGCTGGACGCTAGAGGCTGGTATCACGCAACTGCCCAATACACACGGAATATTCTCTAAATTCACGAGAGATTGGCAATACCCAGGCAAAATGTCCGTTTTTAGGACCATCTTTGACGTCTTTATTTTATTGAGTACACTTTTCCTGTCGTACATTGAGGTTTTTTACCGACTTGTTGTGCCGGCCAGTCGCAAGTCGGTAGCCGGCCGTTCAGTGCTGATCACGGGGGCGGGGCACGGCTTGGGCCGGTTAATGGCTCTGAGCTTTGCTCGAGAGAGAGCCGTCTTGGTGTTGTGGGATATCAACCAGGCGAACAACGAAAAAACTGCAAGAGATGTAAGGATGTTGTTAACATAATTTGTTGAATTCAGTGATTTTAATTACTAATTAGCACAATTTATTTTTTCTTTCACAATAGGAGGCCTATAGGCCTACAGTGTTACACAATTCACTGTACGATGTACATGTACATGCTATGCACTATGGCATTAGTGTTTGAGTAGGCCAACATGTAGGGCCTACTTTTTTACCTATTTACATGTACATGTACCATGCTCAAAAAACAAATGCAAGGGAACATGCAGGGCCCCCTGCCATGGCTTTTTCTGTCCCTTTCTTTCCTGTGTTTTAATGAGTTTAGATCTACCACTCTGCGGCCAGCCATGAAGGCACAGGATCCGATCCAATTCCAAGATCAGAAATGATTGCACATGCTTTGTTTTCCATTTTTGTTTCTGAATCAGAGAAAACAAGACACACTGTTATCCATTTTCGTTTGAGTTCGAAGTTGAGTTACACTGTAATTCACTTTTCTTTATGTGATCCTTGGCTCTGGTGACTTCCCCATTCTTCTGTCTTTCATTTTCTGCCCCGATGTTTTATATATAAAGGTACGTAAACTGGGTGCTCAGGCCTTCTCCTACACAGTGGACTGCTCCTCCTCTAAGGCCATCAAAAATACAGCCGAGCGAGTGTTGGAGGAGGTCGGCGGCATCTACATGCTGATCAACAATGCCGGGGTGCTGGTTGGAGAGGACATACTGTCATTGTCAGAGCGGAACATCACTCAGACCATGAACATCAATGTCATTGCACACTTTTGGGTATGCAGTTTCATCCACCTTTCAGAGGTCAATCAGTGGGGTCACAATATAGTTACGCCCCAACTATAGCCATCAGTCCCAACTTTGCTCGTCACCCAGCGCCCACACAAGGCGCTGGGAAGGGCTAATCTGTTTCAAACAATTTTGTGAAGGAAACACGTCACACGGGGTCACAGTTTTAGACATGAAAACATTGCGAGCTGTAAGCAGAGAAGCAAAAGTGGCTCAAATGTGATAACATCCTAATCTGCAACTAATTTCCGTAACAAGTTGCAAAATGTAATGATAAAATGATTTACCGAAGAATATTGACAAAGGAAGTAATGACCTTACGGTCACAGGTCGTAAAAATTTCCTGCCCTTCCCAGCATCCTATATGGACACTGGGTGACAAGCAAAAGTTCAACTGGCCCAACTGTACGTAAATGTATGTGTGTGATAGAATACCGGTACATGTAGTTGGGCCAGCCCAACTACATGTGTACCACAGAATGACCGAAGTTCAGTATGAGCATGTGCCAAAGCTATTTGTTTAAATCATCGTGTGCTTTTAAAAAAGTTTTTATACAGATTAAGTGCCATACATGTGTGTGAGATGAATTATGTCAGGAGTGAACTGCATAAGTTTGGAGAAAGTTGAGTAAGTTTTTTACAGAGATCAGCCACTAATAGTTAGGCCAGGCCAACTGCAGCACTATAGTTGGAACTGTCCTAACTATAGTTGGGACAGATGCTACAGTTGGGGCATAACAGTATTAATGTACATACATGTATATCTGTAATATGTATTCAAAATTGCATATTTAAAGCTTTTTAAAGTTGTTTTTCCTCTTTTGAGTGATATTGAATGCATGTTAGTTGGAAGTCACTTTTAGATTTTTTGATCAGTGCCACAAAAAGGGCCCGGGTGGAGATGATTCAATAGCCCACCCCACCTCAAAAAATGGAGGGGATGTACACCCCCCCCCCCGATTTATGCCCATGCTAAACTCTATGGTAGCATAGTTGGTACAGGAAAAACAAACAAATCGTGGTTATCTAGTTCGCGGACCAGCAAATATATGGTGTGTGAAGTTGGCTATGTCTAGATATTGTTCATTCTGGGTAGGGGCAGCCTGGTTAAGTACAGTACATGTACATACAGTAATTTACATGTATAACCAAACCCATCTCAGCCATAGAATGAGAGGCTGTCAACATATATGCCAGTGCTTTGGAAGACAGTCATGGTGTACACAGTTTCAGCCCTGTTTGAGATAGACTTTTGTAAGGGAACCATGCCCAAATTACACACTTGTGTGTGGCCTAAAATTACACTTGCCCATAGTCTGAATTCTTAGACTTATTTACCAGAAAGCCTTGGTTCAGCCAATTGAACTCAGGTTTTTGGCTCAGTTGGCTGCCTGAACTTGGGTTTCAAAGCAAGATGATGTCAGATCATACATGTATCTCTTATCAGCAAACCATAGCAGTCAACAATCACTGTCGCTTGGCTCAGTACAACCTGCCTTATCATGCTTATTAATCACCTGCCTTGAATTTAAGTTTGTGGAACCACATTGTCCAGTTTTTATCTCTTAAATTGATCTACAAATGCCCGAGTTAGTGCAAATCCTGATTCTGTAAAGCCCTAGAAGAGTGACTGATCAACATTAGGTTATACGTTGTACATCTGGTACATTATATTATGGATAGGCCAGATAACCGAATATTCGATTGATTGTCAAATATCAGTTTTTTAATTTGAATATTTGACTGCAAATTTCATGAAAAGGGAATTTTTTTTTAAATGAGAAAAATTGCACTATGGAGGCTTGTTTCAAGCAGATTCAAATAAAACCATCAGAAATCTTATGATGATTAATTAAAAAGTAAATTATTCATTAAATCATTTAAAAGGAACAGAAATTTTCAACAGGGCAAGAAGTCTTGTTTATCTCTTAAATCTTGCTAAATAGTGGCTGGAGATACTTCCAGGTGTGAGCATTTATTACATCTACATGTATATTGATCATAACGTACAATTGTGTGCATTATTGCAACTGATTTTGTAAATAGTTTGTTCAATCAACAATCTGCTGGTAAGTATGAACTAATCTTAGGATATTCGATCAAATGGATTGTCGAATATTCGAATAGTGAATTATTCGAATTGACTCAGACCTTTTTCCGATGGGACCAGATTTTTAATAGAGAAATTCGCCTGATGCTTTTGGAAGTGACTAGCCAGTGAGTGCAACCATTTTCACAGAATAGTGTGCAGTAGCCAGTGGTATAACAGTACATGCATGCATGGGTAGGCAGCTAGTTCAGAATCCACACTCGTGAGCTTTCAGTGAGTTTCCTCTCTTTACAGTTGGCTGATGCATTTGTCAGACATGATCACTTGATCTGAGCAACAGCTTGATCTTTACGTGATCAGTCAATCTTGTGCAATGATTTGTCAATTATTCTGCCATTAGCCAATTGTCTTTCCCTTCTCAATCATGGTCACATGGAAGCAGGTTTCAAAAAAGGAAGGAAAAATTGAAGATTTCAGTTGTGCAGATTGGCCAATCATGCCTGGCAGCAAATTCAATCCATTTCCTGGCCAAAGGTTTTGGGAAACTGTCTTGCCAATTCTGGTTACTTTTATCTGTGTATGTAGACCATTCGCAATTTTTTACCGGGAATGCTGGAAGCAAACGACGGGCATATCGTCACCATCGCCTCCATGGCCGGAAAACAGGGCTCCCATCGCTTAACCGACTACAGCGCCTCCAAGTTCGCTGCCATCGGTCTTCATGAAGCCCTTAGGGACGAAATTGACAAGGTTTTCAACAAGCCAGGAGTCCAAACCACGGTGGTGTGTCCAATGTTCATAGATACAGGATTGATTCACAGCACCAGTACAAAGTGAGAAATCCTCTGGTTTACTGATAATCCATAATTTACATACTGTAAATGTAGTGTTGTAGTTCCATCAAATTTCATTGCTTCAGGGTGACTTGTCAGACCTGTGTTTGAATTATTTTTTGACAGGGGCTTGTGATTATGGTTATCAATGAACATTGTACCTATCCAGCCATCTGGACATTGTGTGACTTTTGCTACAGGAAATTTCCATGATTATAGCTCAAAATGAAATTACATATATACATGAACATGTACATTAACCATGTAGTTTTCTTGTTACTACCAAATTGAATATACCCAAACAAATAGAAGAAATGATGCCTGAATGTGAAGCTAAATCCTTACAATAAATTGTTTTTTCTCGTATATTAGACGAGGAGAAGTGCAACATTCATAGTGGAATGTGGAGTGTTCACTGAAGCTCATGTGATCTTTATGGAATACCAAACAAAGCAAGCAATGTCCAAACACAAGTTAAATGTAAAAATTGCCCTTCAGTCAGTATTTATTTTAATCCCCACCATGCGAAGGATTACACCAGCTACTAGGTACATGTACATGTACGTGTATTTGGGTGTTTATGGGTACTTCATTTAGATCTGACTGTCTCATTTACTTTTGCCAAAGATCCCTCTAAATTACAGCCCATCACAGGGCTGACTTCATGTACATACATGTAGCAGGGTCATTCAACAAAGTTGGGATCCAATTTTTTTCATCTCCTTGTCACATCTGGCATATGACTTTGTAAGTTTAAAAGACATTCTTCAATTACAAAGATTACTTAAAATAATAGTTTGAGACCAATGTTTCCCGGTCCAATTCTCAAGTCAGGGACACAAAAATCTCACACTTAAGGACCCCAAATTTATAGAATAACCCATCAATTCCTTTTAGATAACACAAAGGTCATTTGGGATTCCTATTTGATTGTGCCAGTACACAGTTAGGCATAAAGCATCTGCAACTTGCTCTCATTTTTGAAAAGTAAGATTTCTGTTTGCTGGTTCCAACCCCCTGCCTCCTTAATCTCAATGCATTCCAGGAGAGATGGCCGAGACATGCTGAAGGCAGACGAGGTTGTGGAGCAAATTGTGGATGGCGTGCTGAAGAACAAGAGGGAACTGCTCATGCCTGCAGTCATTAACTGGGTCTCCATGGTTCTAAAGGCGTAGGTCTCCCAAGTGCCATTTATGTAAATCACCAACAGACCTTCTCAGAGGGAAACAGTTTTTGATCATATTCCCTGAATGCGTCATATTTAATGTAAGCTGGTGAATGGCCTGGTGCCAGACTAGTTTCGGTTCCAAACCAAACTTTTAATCTTTTGTAAATGTGGCTTAGAGAATTTACTGTAATTTATCACAGATTCTGAATTACATATGTTTTGTTTCATTGCTGTTGCTTTTGCTCTCACGCTCCAAAACTTTCAAGAAGCCATTTGCGACTTAAATTTGAATAAAATCTGGTGCACTGAGTTATCTGACTGCACATTTAAATTCCCCAGACTAAAGACACTGTCGCTATACCTCGTGATTCGAGGCAAGCTTTCACATAGTGACCCTCAGCTCTGGAATGGACTGGTTCCTTTGCACCCTTCTTATCCATTGAGAATAATGTACTGTTGCAAGGAGTCTCTTATGTAACCAAGCAAAAGCTTTCCCCAAATCACGAGGTATAGCAACCGTGGTTTTAGTATGGAGAATTCAAGTTGTCATGTTCATGTTCAAGAACTCAGTGTACCAGATTTGGGTCAAAGTTAATTTGCAAAAGGCTTATTCAAGACAGCCAACATATAAATACAGTTGATTCAGTTTACAGCTGGGGGGGGGGAGTGGACAGGAGAAGAATGTTCCCATTAGTTTTTAGTTTGTCTTCTTCAAAATTAACTTTACATTGTGGTATAGGCCTCCAACAACTAGTGAAGGGTTATAAAGTGCATGTACCTGTTGGAATGCTAGAGAAGTGTGTTGACTTATCCATACATGTACTTTCACAAAAAGAATGTTATTGTCTCAGTTCATATCTCCCGTTTTCTCTGTTCCAGTGTATTACCAAAAAGAGGTTGGGAGGCCTTTCTTAGAAGCCAGGAAATTGTCGTCCCCTCGCAGACCAGGAAGGAAAAATGACGATTCAAGAAAGACAGCTATCGCCTGCTGTTACTCGAAGCTGCTGAGCTGACAGACGACAGCACAGACGGAGAAGAGCTGTGAGTCTAATTTAAATGTTTGAATTCGGTCAGTCCATCGGACAATATTGACGATCAAAATATATAGCAGGGCATGACTCCAACAATGATGATTACCCATTTGCCAAATCTACTTGATACATGTACATACATGTACATGCACACATCAATGAACAAAATGATCAGAAAAATTTATTTTCAGCAGGCAATTTACCTCAAGTGCACAGAACGTTCTGACTTAGCTATCAAGGTATCATAATGTGTATGTACTTTGATTTGTTTTGTCACACGATTGAAGTCCGTCTTTTTGTGGCAGAGAAAAAGTTAATTCTCTAAAGCACAGCCAACAGTTGGTGGTGTATATGTACATGTATGTTATCATAATCAGCACTTCCATTCCAGTAAGAATCACGATTCGAAAAATTGCACGTTTACAGAATGATAGCAGTCAAAGTGACTGCATTAAATATTCAAATATTGACTGCTTTGAGTTGTGTCGTAAAACTGGCCTCCCAAGGTAATCCATTGAGTATTCCAAAACGAGACAAAGCAGTCGGTGTTTGTTTTATAACACCTCTCCCACCGATTCTGATTGATTGATTTAAGAGATATCTGATTGATTTGATCATATATGAAGTACATATACTATATGTACTTGCAAAAATATGTCTGTGACTAAGAAATTTGTTGAAAATTTACCAGCACTTTTCCAAACTACCTCTTCACAAAATGTGTGAAGCCTGCTCTGTAACGCTGGTGCTTTGGAATAGGCATGACACACACACCACAATGCATGCGCACACAATGCCAGTAGTAAAGTGTATTGTTCTTTGGTTGCTAGAGTATATTACTTTGGTTGCTATGGGCAGATATACATGTAAATCTTTCCGTGCACAAGAAGATGGCAAAATTAGTGAATACCATGTGACTGGTTCTCAGCCAATCAAGATACAGAATCTGTTTTTGAGGTGTTATGAATAATTTATAAAGCTTTTCATTTTAAGTATTCATTTTGCACTTTCAAATACATGTATTTGATAAGAGGGTATTTGTATTTATTGATTGATCAGTACCTCAAATGGGATTTTATTACTTCTTAGACAATGTAGACTAAAGAAATCTATTTTTAAAATGGTCTTTTCATGATAAATGTGAATTTTAGGATTTTACATATATAACGAGATGTGATCATTTCTGTCATGCAAAAATTCAGAAAATATATTTTCCTAAATACTATGATGGCTTTTCTACTTTTAAAACATTTGTAAATGATAAAGCGTCTTTCACTCTGTCTACATGTAAATGACAATGCAGGTTTGCCATGGGGCCTTACAAATGAAAGTATTTCTTGTCTATACAAAACTTTCCAAATTGCAGGGTTTTTAAGTCTTTGGGTATTGCTTGGTTTTTAAATTTTCATTTGCCTTTTTTTATTCATTCCTGTCTGTCTTGGCTTGTGTCTCAGAGATACATGTACGTGTGTAAAACTTTGGTGTATTTGATGTTGCTGAATTAAAATAACCAAACGACCTCCAAGATTGCTGCTGTACGCAAATGTAGATTTTACAAACTATTAATGATAAAAAACTTTCGAAATAAACAGGCTAATCCCCCATTTGAAATGCAAATCAAATATTTGTGAGAAGTGAGCAACACTGCAATTTTGTACACACTGTTCTGAAATTTGCAGATGTACAATGCACATGTAAAGCTCAGTATTGACCTGCAGCACTGAAAAGTAACAGTGAACACCAATTTAGATGAAGGCAAACCAAGTTGAGGATGATCAAGCCGCAAAAGTGCATTTCTCAGATTTTGATTTTGTACAATTCCTCCAGAATGAAGTCTAGAAGTTGCCCTCTTTCACAGAATGATTTCATTAAACAACCAACGAAAATTTTGTATGGTCATCTACCAAACCATACTTCAGATTTCATGTCATGTAAGTATAGTTTTTTGGCTGTCAAGTTCACTTGTTTGTTATTTTGCTTTATATTCAGAAAGCAGAACCACAAAACACTTTTTACAAAAAGTCATCAAAATTTTTTAATTGTTCCAAAGCAGCCACATTCCTCTGACACATTCCCAATCATGATTTCAACGGCAAAAAATCAGAATATTACGACACTGTCAAAGGTATCATGGTGTGAGGGAATGTCATTCAGAAAATCTTGATTAAACATACATGTACAGTCATTTTGTACTTAAAAAAATGTGTAATGTTGTACCCTAATATAAGCTTTGCTCCATTTGTAGCAACCCATGGATGGAGAGTAATTTTGTGCTTGAAACCAGAAGTTTCAGAGAGTGCTTTGGCAAAAGTTACACATTTGAAAATAATTCAAACATGTCATGTCAATCAGAGACCAGGCTGGGGCAAGCCCGCCCCCCCTCCATCGAGCATATGGGCAATTAATAACTTTTGACTGCTGTAGTGTGGGATATGACGTTTTGAACACCCAAGGGATGCATATAGCGCCCCGAGGCAAAGCCAACGCGGAGATGCCCTAAAGCATCCTGTGAGATGCCAACAGATGATATGTTGCAATTGTTTGGAGTTATTGCAAAAGACGCTGCAGACAGGGCCAAGTGGAGGAAAGCTATATGCAGATAGGGGGAATGCAGGCCAATCCAGAATACAGACTGGGTAACGGCCTCAAAATACAACATGATGACAGTGATTGGTGCCAGCCAAATTATCTCCAAGTGAACTGAATTGACAGCAGATCATGCGGCTGTAAACAATTTACATAGGCTACAATACGCTTACTCTTTGTCCAGTGCAGTTTTTATGCAGAGTGTGATATGGACTAGGATGCATGTACATAAACACTCTGATGCATTGAACTGACTACTGAAATCAAGGAGTCAGGTTGGTCTGTTATATTTATGGCATCAAATTAAGGCACGTTCCCAAATAAGTTGTGCCATCTCACTTGAACGATTTTACCCCAAACTCCACTATGATATACTTGAAAAAAGTATGCCTGTTTAAAAAGCAAGAGATTTGCAGGAAGATTTTCAAAATGTGCTGGGGACTCCACAATACATTGATGTGGGCTCTGGTCTACATTACCAATAAAACAAGCCACTGCCAACTTGAAGGTTTCTAGCTAACATTTTTGAGTGTCACAGTGAAGACCAAGGCACTGTTGGGAGGAATAGGACCAACTTTCTGACGTCCGTAGCTGCAGTCATGAAAACAAAAGTAAGCAATAAAAAGGATGTTTGTGTTAATTTTGAAGTGATATGTGTTGATGGTTACAAATGTGAGTGTCGTCTTTGCTTCAAGTTTCTGCTTTATTAATTTATTTCCCCCACCCCATGGTTGTGAGCCCAGTGTGCAGGTCCATGAAGCCCGGTTTCGAGAATTTTCATTTGTTTGCCTTGATAAATGCATGCACAGTGAAATCGCACTAAGTCAAACCTGAAGGGAACAAGCCCAAACTCTGGGTCCAGTAGAGTTTCGAGTTAATAAGCACGGTTGTACATATTGTGCTACCGAAGGGAAAAAAGATTGTAGAGAGTTTGACTTAGCAAGAGCTTTGAGTTATCAAAGTTTAACTCGCCAAGATTTCACTGTATTTAGAACTGATGAAGTCAAGATTCAAGTCACAAAGACAGAGACAAAGCTGCGCAACTGTCAAAGCTGAAATGAAAAGGGCAAAAGGACAATTTCTACATTTCATGATCAATTCCCTCGCCCCACTTTTTTCCCACTTTGAACATGCTGAATTTAGAAGGTAAGGAATAACTGCTCAGACATGATTATCCTCTGAGTTTTCTTCCCTGTAGAGTTGCCAATTTTGTCAAGAACGTGAAAAAGTGATATTTAATGTCGCATTCTTATATGCAACAAAGGAAACCATTTGTCGGCTTTTTCTCCACAATGCATTGTAAAGGTCAGCTTGGTTGCAAACTGTCGTAAAATGCTTATTCAGGGTTCACTATCATTTTGTGCGAGAGATTTCAAAAGAAAGTTGTAAACATGAACAAAACTCCAAGAACCTACCCTTCAGATGCAGGAACGGTTAAACGCCTTTTGCCTCCAACTTTCATACCTAACATGAGAAATAAGACGATGAGAAAAAGGGTTATCCCCAGAAGTAAACCAGTTTGGGACAATACGTTCTCGTGTCCAATAATAATCCAATTTTTTGACACACAATGATAAAAATAGTAAAAACAAATGGGATTTTTGTCACTGGTAAAATCATTTACAGAACTAATTGACACTGTACTAGCAGTGTCATATCCCACTATGTTAATGTGTTACAGTGCATATTGTGGTGGAACTGCAACGTGTTACAGCAACCTTGCAATTTTTAAAAGTCCAACCGGAGAGGTCGGGCTACTTGAAAGTTCGCAAAATCCTGAATCCAAAAAAAATTCATGAGAAATGATGTCCCGAGTTCATTTCCTCCCCAAGACATGTTGCTCACTCACCGGCGATACCCATATCCCAGCCTTTGATGACTTCAGAACTTCCCAACCGGAACATAAAGGGTTTACCATCCATGCAGGAGTCAAATTCCTTACTGTTGCTGGCGAGGGTTCCCCGATAGTACACATGCACCTAAGGGAGGCAAACCAACACAAAACCAAATAACATAAAGGATACTGTGCACGATATGGGGCCGATGGGTACCCCCCATGTCCAATCCCTATACACACTCTAGACTATTGTTACCTTCCCCCAGAACTCTGTAAAGAATTCCAGAGATTCTGATCAAACAATGACCAACACAAAGGCGGGGAGGGGGGTTCTCTCTGCCCCATATCTCGCATCATATGACATAAAAGAGGTAATAACAAACATTACTTTCCTCAGGCTAAAACTTACACACGTGCACCGGCATTATCAATTGCCTTTGAAAGTAATGCTTTTATACAAGACAATTACACAATATTGCAAAAAGTGGACACAAATGCATGTTTCTAACTATGAACATCAAGCACAGCTTCCAAGAACAAAACTTGACGTTTTGGGGTGATGATTTCATTTTTACTTCAGCCAAATAAAGTCTGTAATTGAACTTTTCTGTTATTTTATTCCATCAAACAATCGTCTTTGAATAGGGGCTCACTATATTATAGATTTTCATAATCTTATAGTTCATAACTTCCTTGTTAGAGGGTATTGTTTACCATAGAAAATCAGTCGATCGAGAAAATTCATTGTGAGGTATTTACGTGTACTGCTGTGTATCAGTGCATGAGCGAACCTCAACGGACATGCATGTAATTTAATTTCGATAGCCTGTCATCCTTGTCTGTGCATATTGCTTTATTTTCACCAAAAGTATCTTTTCCTGAGTGATTCATTTGCAAACTCATAAATAAACGATAATGCCGTATCACTAATTCTGAAGACCAATACACTTTTTTTTCAATTAAAATAAGAATGCCTCTCCCCCACCCTGGAATTCTGCGCCAGTCTGCTGACTGAAACCAAGTAAAGACACAATAATCAGAATATTTCACTGATGCAATTCAGCGGAGGGGCCATGGTAAGTGGCATGGATGCTGGATTTGACAGTACAGGCTTCAGGGGGGCAGGTGGTAGCATGGCGGCAGCCCTCGACATGGGGGTGACGGTACACAATGAATCAAACGGGTTGGTTGACACAGGATCGAGGAAAGGCAGTCCAGGTGGTTGTGACATGGGTTCTACCATATATTCTGCCGTGTGTTCTGCGTGTGATTGGTCAGGAGCCACGGTAGGTCTAGCTGGTGGAGGTAATCCATCCACTTGAGGATGAATTTCTTTCCGTGGTTTCCGTCCTCTCCTCCTGTAGCAGGTGTGCGTGATTTTCCGTTGTCTTTTTCTGCTTTCTATCCTCTGCTCTGCTCGCCTTTTGAAAACCAGCTCCTCCTCTCTCCACGAGCGATGCCAGCCCAGCCTCCATGACGCCATGCTTGAAGTGATTTCTGCTTAATGTCGCACCCAGAATGTACTAAACAACAACAATGGCCCCCTCCAGGCCTTTGCTAGATGAACTTTGAAACGAGTGGCATACTCTGAGAGTTCCCGTATTATTCATTTGTTGTTGTTGGTATGATCTCATGACATCAAATTTAATGCTTGCGCAATTGCTTGCATTCTGCTGTGTGCCCTAAATCTACATGTGCAGTCATTGCCGCTTTCTTCTGGAGTTGTTTTGGGAATAAATAGCGACATTGTTTATTTTGTGTTTTGTTTGAATCACTTTTATTATGGCATTTGTACAAAAGTGTATTTTGTGAGATTTCATGATCACTCTCTGTGATGAAATAGCGCATTTTGTTACCTATGAACTTAGCTTTCCAGTAAAAGTCAACATTTTGTTGGCCAGTCTTATCAAATTAGTATCGAGTCTTTGAAAACTGATGTATTGGAGGGAGGAGAATAAAATTACCAACTTTGTATGCATAATGAACAGTGTATCAAAATAAAAAAGCTTATTCTCAATGGCAAAAGTAGGTCATATATTAGGGACTTCTCTCTGTATTTCTTGGTCACAGCAATAATTTATATTTAATTGCAAGCAAAAAAACAAAAAGTATTGCTAGGATATTACTGGCCCCGCTTGTCCGACTAAGATGCAGGCAGTAATCAGGCAGGCATTTTTGAGATGTTTTCTATTATTCGTCTGACTCAGCGGCGACCATCATTGAACACTTTGAAGTGCCAAAGTTCATTCTGTGTCCTTCCTTTATGCACGAATGAACTGTACACAGGGGTCTAATTTAATCCTGAAAAGCCACAGAGCCTTTTTTTTTTTTTTTTTTTTAGCATAAGCTTTCTCACATTAAATTCCTCAATTTGTAAAACTTTACGCAAAAGTAAAATCTGTTTACTTTGCATTAAATTTGAAAAATATTCTGCTTGCCTTGAAACGCTGGACGTTTGTACATTATGGGTCCATGCCCA